TTTAGTTTACTTAAAATTTATTTTTTTTATGTTCGTAAATGAGAGGTAGCCAACGTATATGCAATGGATGTAACAAATCGTATTATCTGATGTATCCTTTGTGAAAAGCTTCAATAGAAAAGCAACGATTCTTGAATACTGTCAAATCTTGATTTTCCATCACAGTATCAAAGCAACTACTACGATTTAAGCAGGTTATGAATAGTGATTCTAAGTGCAATTTTTTTTACTTATTCTATTTAGCATTATTTCATAAAGACAAGTGTCTATCATCTTAAAAGTGGACATGAGATTTTGTCAAATTAATACATAAAATCGCACTGATACAATTGCAAGTTTAGAATTCTTATGGATACAGCATGATTAATAAGCCATAGAATAAATACGAATTAAGACGAGTGCTGTAAAACGAAGTCTTCATCAAAATGCATATAATATTAGTGGATTGTCATTTCGTATTGAACTACAATTTCATTCATTTACTTGTATGAGTTATTGAGCAAATATTGAATGGTATCATTAAAAAAACAAAATATACTTCTTGAAATACATTCTATTTCACAAATGATGGTGCACTATACAAAAAAATGCTATTTTATAATGAAAAAAATTCTTTGATTAAAACCAGAATATTTTGCAAACAAACTCAAAGTTATAATTAATTTAGAAGATTTTTTAATCGTCAAAATCTTCTAAATACATTTTAATTTTGAGTTTGCTGCACAAACAATTTGATTGCAATTGAACTATTTTCCATTGGATTCTATATAAGTCTTTTCATTAGAACTATTCATTTTTTCCACAAAAGAGATTATATAATAAATAGAAAAAAGTAATCAATGCATCTCTTTGATTGCTATTCACCAAAGTAGAATAACCATTATTATTCCAGTCATGCTTCAATTTGAGTCTCTTTCTCATTGCATGCAACATCCATCAGTAATAATTGCTGTTGGTTTCATTTATTTTTCTATCATTCGTCACACTTTTTTTATGCAATACAAGAAATAGGCAAAAAATATGGTGATATGATTCATCACTACGATCGCTCTAATTTTCGCTTGAGCAAGCGAGAAAGTCGCTAGTATTACACCTGTGCGCATAGTTTGCGTTTATTGCTGGCCCGAGAAAAAAAAATATAGATGGAGAACAGAACGTGTGAATATATAAAAGAGAAAGTAAAAATATGACAAGCAAACGTTTACGATTGACATATCGAGCCATCTGGTTTTTTTTCTAATTTTTTGCAACGCTCAAGTGAATTCAACTGCAATGGAAGGAACTAGTGAAACGGTCCCATTAAGAAGTGAATCTAGCACGGTATCTCCTTTTTCAATGGCTACCGCTGGGAAAACATTTGGTTCAACTTTTAGTCTTTTGTAAATTTTATTTTAATCTATGTAGTTTGAGTTTAAACAACTATATAATTTTCTAGTTCGGCATTGCTTGCATCTATTATTCCATTAATTCAATTGATAATTGGTGCATATTACAAAGGAGATTGTCCTATTGATCAACGTATTCCAACTTATATGATTGTTTCTGGTGTCTGTGGTTTAGCATTGACTGGAATCGCCATTTTGCTTTCTATGTATATCTAGGTTTTTAAAAAATTCTATCGATATTTAATACTTCTTTTTTTTTAGTACATTCATGTGTTTTGTTTCGGATTCAACAGCATTGAATGTATTAGCTAGCTGTTCTCTATGTATAAGTATATTGGCAACAATTATAATATCAATTTTTCTTTTTATTTGGTTCATTCTTGGTTGTGTCTGGGTATTCAGTATTCGTAACGAAGTACAATTTGATAATCGATTGAAATCTAATTATTGTGAACCAGTTTTATATAAAGCAACATTTGCATTGCTTATAATAACTATTATATGGAGTAGTCTTCAATGTTGTTTTTCATGTTTTCGACAATGTTGTACAGGACAAAGTAACTGAATCAAGTGAAAATTAATATTTAATGTTAATGAATATCTTTGAAATTACTATTCAATATTATTTAAAACGTAACATTTTATACGCAGTTTCTGTTTTATTTGAATATTTAAACTCAGCAAAAGACTTCGATGTATTTTTTCGTTTTAGATAGAGTAAGCTCGAAATTATTAATTCATTTAGTATTGATAGTTGAATAGATATTTAAAACAAATCTGTATTGCTATGTTATTCATTTAAATAAATATCTTTTATTCGTCATATTTATATATTTAAAACTTTGTTCACAGAAATGAATTCTTTATGAAAGATGTGTTACTATGCTAATTACTTTTTTTCTACGAGTATGATTTTTTAGAAGCAAGTTATTTTAACTCGAATATATATTCGTTGAACTCTTTTAAATATTATTTCGAAAGAAAAGATGTCACTCACTCTAATCTGATTAACACTTCTTCAAATATAACAAAATTTTAGAGTTTTTAGCTGCACGGTAGAAATTATGGTTCTTTTAGCACTTATTACAAGATTTGTCTCAATCTCAAGTGTATACTATCAGTTAGGGTCCTGCAATCCTACTCGATCACCTAATCATATTCTAAACTAGGCCCAGGGAAGGACCTGTGTAGACTAGAACTCGGATGTTATTTTAAAAGTTGTTGTATATTATGGAGTACAGATCTATAATGCTGTCGTCTTCAAACAAATTCCAGATGGGTCATTTGAAAAATGATTTCGTACGTGTTTCTCTAAATATTGAATTTAAGAGACAAGTTTTGGTTCTATTCTTCAGATTGTTTTATTCGACACTTGTAGTGTTGGTCATGCGCCCGGATTGAGCAACAATTGAGAAAGGTTATTTGTAAAAGTGTGGTGTCTTTGTTACTGTATCACCATCTATATATATATATAAATGCATTTTGTCATTGTTTTTTGTGTTTCTTCTAATATTTCTTATTATTCTGCATGAATAGAACATGATGCTTCTTACTTCCTTGGTATTCATCCTGTTTGTGTTTACTAGATATTCCCATAAAATTTATGAAAGAGTATCTTATCGTTTTAAGAACCTTTTGCATTCGAAAAAGTGCTTAGACGTTAAAGAAAGTTTTTTTTTGTGAATAAAAAAGTTCTGAAAACCGCAAAATGCCGTTTCCTAAACTATAGAGATACTCGCAATGTTGATATATATACCTACTGTTGGTACATTTCATATTTTAGTTGTGTCGGATATATAAACCTAACATCATATAAAAAGAAAATGTTAAAAAACCGTTACCTCCAGTAGTCTTCTAGAAATCTTAGAAATACATTGACAGCAACTAGTTCCGAAAACATTTGACGCTGTTGTTTTTCGTTGTAATAGCTGATAAACTTCAATCGTTGAAGTACGTAGTTCTAATTTTTTGTTCATATTGTTTGTGATATTATTTGTATACTGTTGTAGATGTTTGTAAATTTTTTTTTAATCACTTTACAAATGAAGAAGGAAATCGAGCACAGTATCCGATGACTGTGATTTTTATATTTTGTATGATACGATATGAAAAAACAATGTAGAGCAGAATAGAATAACGAAACTCATACTCTTGCAGAACTATCCTGTTCATATTTCAAACCTTTTCATTCACTTGGTTTCAACGACTAAGATTTATTTTGAAAGCAAATATTTTCTTTTAAAGAGTTGACACAAATATCACATCAATTATTTGATGAAACGTATCCTAGATTCATTTATTTTGCTGTAAATGACGTAAAATGTAAAATTTCCATCTCGTATTCTTGTGATGATCGTGGTGAAGTACTCAATGATCTTGAATATGACATATAAAGCTAAAGTAAAACAACACTGATTAAAAAAAAAAGATAAATAAGTATTGAAAATAGCTACTTTTTTGAAAGTAACTGAAAGTTGATCAACTTTTCGTAGAATACATCGAAATATTCTCGATATTGTTCACGTTCATCACAATATATCGTTCTTCACAAACTGTAGCATTACTTAGTATTTCAAAAAGTTAAATGTTCAAAATATTTATTTTTAAGAAAAAAAAAATAATAAGTTGTTCTTGTTTATGATCTAATGTTATATGGAATTAATCAAAGCATTTCTTCATTTTCACTATCAACAGTTTCAAGTCCTTTTCAAATAACACAAAAAATCTTGATTGGTTATCGTTTCGAACATCTAGGGGGTAAAGAATCCAATATACATCTGGACTTTGGAATGAAAACCTAGATATTTGAATTTGAAGTTGAGGCGTGAACTAGCTTTTGGACAAAGTCCAGAGAAATAATTTACATGTTGATAGCCTTTATCGAATCTTGAACTGTTTACAATATGACTCCTCCGTATCGAGATAGTTGTTATAGTTGCTAAAGTCTATCCCATACGCTTTCTTGAAATCATGTTGCATGAAATTGTGTTGAGGACAGCTTGTCTAATCAATAGTCGAAAACTTTCATTTGAAAGATTCACTGACAAAACATCTTTCGCACAGCTTTCAATCAAAAGAGGCATGATTTAACTCCAGCTAGACTGTACTGAAGAGAAATCGTGAACTACGGCCTCTTCATGAGTATATAAATAAACATTTGTTCAATTCTTTTTTTCCTATTAATTGCTCTATATTCTTTAGATTGCTCGTCTATTCAAGGATACATGGCATACTAGTGTTACATGCATTCAACATTATAGTCGATTATTTATCGTTTTCCTGACAAGCAATTATCTGTCACATTTTTCAAAACATTTATGTAACTCTATGGAGCTGACATTCACTTTTGAAACAATGGTAGACAGTTATTTTTTTTTTTAAGGTAACTGCAAATGGTCACTTCTGTCATCGACACAGGTGAAGCTTCTTGTCTCTTTTTTTAAACTATATCCTCATCTCGCGCACATGCCTTTCTTGTGTCCAAGTAATATTCGCTTGTTCTTCTCTCGAACAGTCGCTCATCTAGACCTAGAGTCTCTTCAGTGCACAATTTTCAAACAAAATTCTATCCAAATAAGAAATAAGTATTCGAATACTTTAATGTTTGAGATTTTCAAAATCTTAAGACAATGCCAAAAAAATTCCATGAAAAATAGATACTTATTCCCTTTCAAGATGTTCTTCACTGTATATGAGATCATTGGATAAAAAAAGTGTTGACAGTGAAGAATACAGAGATGTACATGTTAGAGAGGTTCATTCTCTGCAAAAAACAGTTCGAGGAAACAAGCAAATATACATATGGAAAGGTTTTACTGTATTGTTTTATTTTTAACAAGATCAGCATTTGAAAAAACAATGTGAATTAATCAATCCGGAAATTATCAAATATCCACAATCAAATTTTAATAAATACGTTGAATAACATAAAATTTTCATAGGATTTATTTAAGGATCAGCATTTAGAAGAAAACAAAAGAATCAAAAGGAAAAAGCCAACCTTCACTAATGAAACATTACAAAATAGACAATTATTATTTTCATTGAAACAATAACAACCAGATCAGAATAGTCATAGTTTGCCTTGCAGTATAGTAAATCAACATCGATTTCACTTCGACTCGACTTTATCTTAGAAAACTTCAAATGAATAGATCCTTAGTTTCAATTAAAACTTTTAAAAAATGATTGGTGTACAAAAAATAAATATTTCTTGTATCTGGTCGCAGCACTCTCAGAACAAATAGAGATCACTAATTCAAAAAAACATTTTCAAGTTGGATCGATTTAAGTCATTTTTGTAGAAGAAATTGAAAAAGTCGTTAAATAAGATACAATATAAACATTTAGAAATTTTTACTCATTCATTCGTTTTTATATAGTTTTCAAAAGTTTCTTACATAAAAAGAAAAACATTAAAATCTTACGAATTATCTTTCAATAAATACGAAAACTTACTGCATTCGATAAAATATTCTCAGTTAATAGGAACCACGCAGCCTTTTAATTTGTATTTAACAATGATCACAAAAATCTCGCTATCTAGTAAAAAACAGCTAAATCTAAATCTTTGGAGTTCATTGGTCATCATACGAAGAAGCTAGAAAGTCAACATAGATTTTTTCTCAGACAAGCATCTTTTAGCGTAGAAAACAAATTTCATGACGTTAGACATCTCATTCAACAGCTCATTATTGCCTCTATCATTAAGAAAAATTCTATGTCAAACAGTTTTAGTTTGTTTGATTTATGAAGTAATCTTTGGATATCTTCACATGATAGTTGATGGGAATCATCAAAAACTGATCCATATCTCCAACTAATTTTAACGATTTTTTGTTGAGGCTTTCTCCAATAATCGCTCTACTCTAGTTAGATTTTTCATGAAAGTTTTACAACCTCAGTCATCAATAGAGAAGCGATACATGTTGGAACTGTCCCCAAACAATGGTTGCTTGTCTGCACCCTAAGATTACAGCGGATGGAACTATTCTATCTGTGGTATAATATAAACATGCGAACTTTTATTTGTGAATAAGAAAATAGAAATTAACTGTATCCAAATAATAAAAAAACAGCAAAAGATTGAAAAAGCTTTTTTTTGGACCCTAAAGAAAGAAAAACTAGTATTTTCATCGTAAACCTTTTGCTTTAAGACGTATCGACCTGAAGTTGCTAATTGTGATCAGAATTTACCGAGTTCTATTTGTACTGAAAATATCAAGCAAAAGGAATAAAGTTTATATATTTCTTACCCGGTTGCGAAATCTCTGCCGAGTTTTGTAAGAACAAATATCTGTTAACATGCGATTCTATTTAATACTTCAACAAGGCTCATACTCAATGCTTTTAAATAAAGATAATTCAATACTTCAACGTGTGATTGATGCTAAAAACCGAAGTACGAGTATTCTCGTCTATTAGTTGAAACACATTTTCAACATAGAGAACATTATTGTTCAAATTATAATACGTCCAAAACGATTAAATCTGAAATATGTTTATCACAAGAGAAGAGAATTGTCTTAGTATTCGATTTAAAACTTTTATCACATGTTTTAATAA